AATTAAAACGAGTCATGAGTGCTAATCTTAAAAATGAAAGTATGTACATCTAAATCTCATGATTTAATAATTATAAATTAATTTATAAAGTATATATTTCAAATTAAGAGTTGGGATTCGAATCCCCACCCCAATTGTAAATTAAAAAAAAAAAAAAAAAAAACAGTTGAGGTGTTCTTTAATCAATTTATATATATGTCAAGAGTAATTAATCTCAAAAATTTTTAAATCTTTTATTAATGTTAAAATTTGAGCAATACATAAAAGACAATCATAAGATTTCGGCTCTCATGCATGCTCGGTGGTGCTTCCTTGTTATTGTATTTTGCAGTAACAACTGACAACAAAAAGTCAACCCTAACTTCTCAGTTCTCACGAATTAGAATTGAATTTGAGAAGGGATTTGCCCATAAGCGAGTAAATTAACAATATTTAGACACCATTTTTGTAATGGTTGGATGATTTTTATTTAAAAGAAATGTAGTGATGTAGCTGTAGCCATCTCAATTAAAAAGGGAAAGCCAATTCAAGTGGAAGCTTGATTGAAAAAAAAAAGGGCAAGGCAAAGTGAAATGAGTGTTTAAGTTAAGTAGACAGAAGGAAATACCATTTTTGGAGTTGTTTTGGTTTCCCTGAAACATGAAAGCAAATTCGAGGAAGTGTGCGCTAAACGACTCATTTTGGTCTCAAATTTTGCTTTCAGAGGCATAATCAACTATATATGGGTATCTGAGTATACTTTTTTTTGTAAAATGTGAATGGTTTTATTTATCCAACAACTATCGGTATACAAATTTAGCAGATAATAAAGCTACTACAGAAGAATGGGTATACTTCTTACAAAAGGTAATCACTGAACAATATTTTCAATCTCCCAATTTAAAACTATAGAGAGGGACAAAGGGAGGGATTTTGGCCTAGCAAAACCCAAAATTTTATCCATGGCATCACGCTAGACTTCATCAACAATTGTTACTTTTGGTTTGTATATTTGCTAATGAATCCTTCTGTTTCTCTCCATCCTTCCGACTATACATTTGATTTTCTAAGAATCCTTTCTTCTAAGATTTTTTGCCCGACACACTTCTTTCCAGAAAGGTGAAAACCAAACACGGCTTTAATTTTCAAGAAGAAAACTCAAAACTCTAGAAAATTTTTTCCTTTTTTTTAAATTTTTTTAAAGAAACGATGTCGTTTAATTAATGTGGAAAACGACGTCTTTTCATGTGATTCACCTTCTCCCGCAGCTCCGTAACCACCGGTTTCATTTTCAATTTTTCTCCTTTTCTTGAAAAAACAACCATTAGAAATAGTGGTAATAAATTAAATAAAATATAAAGCAAAATGAGTGAATTGAATTTGCATTAGAGACTAGAGAGAGTGCGTGCGGTGTGTGAGGAGCCATGGAGACAGCAATATGTGGGAGATTGCCTCTCTCACCTAATCCCGTCTTCAATCCCAAACCAGGTTCTTCTTCCTTCTCCTTTCTAATTTCATCTTCTTCTTTTTTTTTTTTTTTTAATGAACAATTCTCCGATTTTGGTTAAATTCCTCTGAATAGCATGCTTGGGTATATTAGATTTTCTGTCTGGTAGTTTGGATTGATTTAATAATTTTTCTTCAAAACAATAACTTGAGCTAGTTTGTTAGTTGGGTTTGTTAAAGAATTGCAATTGGAGGATGATATGGGGTTTTCTTGGTCAAATTCTTTCTGGGATTAGCTTAAATTTTTGCCCTTTGAGCCTTGATCAAGAAGGGTTGCAGGTTGTTGATTGACAACTTGTAAGACTTCTGAGTGTAAGACCTTTAGTTGGGGATACTAAAAATTGGCAGCTAGTGTTCATTTATAAATGAGTGAATTTCAAGAATTTGTGTGAATTCATGAGTAAAGAACTTCTCTTTTGGCATGATTGTTGGTGAGGGAAAACTGGGTAAAGCTTATCTTTTTCTTGCTCTTTCTTATGAGGGTTGCTTGCAAACTTTGGCATTCCAAAGCTTGGAAATTAGTTTCTTTCCATTCAGCTTTGTTGATGTTAATTGATAAATTAAATATTTTCACTTTAAAAAGATCCTATATTTCCTAGGCTAAGAAGTGAAGTTCAATTTATTGCCTCCACAGTTTCTTCATTGTGTATCATGTGAAATGATATGTTTCCAGTTTCCCAGCCATAATAATACTGCTGGTATTCCCTATCTTGTTAATCAACCTTAGATTGATATCAGAAGCATGCTTGTTGGGCTGTTGTAAATTCTGTTTATACTGATGGTGGAGTGATTTTCATAAAAAATGATCGGTTTTGTTGTACAAAAAAACAGGGGATAAACAGTCTCTTTGCAGAGGACCATGTCCCAACCGTGGCATTCTCATGGCTGTGTCAGCAGCTGCACTGGGTAAAGGGGGAGGTGTTCTGGACAGACCAGTTAAAGAGAGAACTACTCCTGGTCGTGAATCTGAGTTTGATTTGAGGTATATGAATGAATATAGTTTGTTTCTTTTACTTGGTTGATGTGAAAATATTGTGCATTAGTACCTCATTTTGTGTCCATCTTCATCACAAATTGATAGTGTTCGTAACTTCTATGTTCATATTTCAATCATCAAATTTTATGCATTAGCTCAATATGACTCATGCCTCTTTTCTGACAAATTACTTCCAACATGGAAATTTTTTAATGGTAACTTTTGTGAATTTAACTCATACAGGAAAAGACGGAAAACAGCTCCACCCTTTCGTGTGATACTCCATAATGACAACTACAACAAACGAGAATATGTTGTTCAGGTATTGATGAAGGTTATTCCAGGGATGACCCTTGACAATGCAGTTAATATAATGCAAGAAGCTCACTACAATGGCTTGTCAGTGGTGATCATTTGTTCTCAGGCCGATGCAGAAGAGCACTGCATGCAACTGAGAGGCAATGGGCTTCTAAGTTCAATCGAACCTGCAAGTGGTGGTTGCTGAAGCCCAAATCTCCTGAGACTCCACATGGTTTCTCATTGTTGAATATACAGTTTTTAGAGTGTTAGATGGTGTATATCTTCAAATTGTATGAATCTTGGAGATCACATGTGAAAGACCATTGGATGGTAGTAATTTTGAATAAACGTGACTCCATTTATAGCTCATGCAAGTTGATCTTTGCTTTGGTTTTCATTCCATACAGACAGGTCTAGGGTTGCCCTGAGGTTCATTTGTCTGCCTATGGTAATCAATTAATCATCAATTGACACTTCAAAACAATAAGAAAATGAGGAAAATGATTTCCAGGGCAGAACAAAAAGCGGGACGCTCTTAACATTTTGCCGCCTTAAGCGAAGCATTCGTAATTTGTGACAGACTACAGGTGCCTGTTCCCCATGATCTGTTATGCAACCATCTTCTGATATAATATTTTTTACTTTTTGAGCGGGGAAGAAAAATTATGGGTTTAAAAGATCTCTATTTTAAAGCTTTAAATCAACCTCCTTAATTTCTGAGAAAATTTATTGCATATTAGGGGAGAAGTCAAACTTCCTCTACCACAAGGCTTTGTCTAGACAAAACAACAGAGGAATCTGAAAAACCTGAATAAGAAGCCTTCTATTATCTCATCCATGGATAAATAATTCTGTATCTTTTAAAAAGGAAAAACTAACTTTCGTAGATGCAAAACCAAGAGATTAGGAGTTATTCATTAAGTTCTCAAAAGTGCGGCTTGGCAAGTGACAAAGAAATCTTCAATGTCATAATGTGACATTCATTAATTCACCAGAAGACCTTTCAATTCCAGAACCTAATCTGTAGGCAGAAAGCAGAGGAAGTGTCAGAGATTAGATACCGTGGGAAGCAGACAACATAATTATAATTGTGCAATTTTCAAATGGAAGTTCTAATCATCCACCAGAAGACAAGCAACTTGAGACCCTAGTTCACAACAGAAATGAAACGCAAGTTTATGAGGATGTCACAAGAATGTCACAAAAGAAATGGAGAGAAGGGACAACTTGAAAGGAGAGTGTACGTCCTCATGCACATTTTATGTATATATATAGCAAGATGTTAGCGCATTCATTCAAATCACCATGAGCACTAACCATTAGTGTATGTTATTGGTCATCATGACTCAATTGGTGAGAGGAAGGATTGGATGCCAAAACCAATGAAAAGAACTCCACTTGATACAGCAACCTACAGAAAAATTAGAAACAATAAATGCTCAGCAAACTAAATATGCAGACTGTGATTGTAATGAACACAATAAATGAGTCAAGATTACTATTTTTTCAGATATCTGAGATGCCAAGCTTTTTCCTCCAAGTACAGCAGCAGTGGTACAAAAAGCTTGTCCTCTGAAGAGCAGAAGCAAAATTAATTAGCTTTTACAGAAGAAATAAATATGGGAAAACATATGGAGAGTGGAGGAAAATTCAAAAATAAAAATAGAAGACCCTAGCATCAACCAGTTATATGAAGATAATAGGTATAACTTACACAATCCCACCAAGAACCACACCAAATGGATTCTCATCTGCAGCCAACGTAATGGTAGCTAACTACAGATGTGGAAAGTTACTCAGTCCAAAGCAGTTAGAATCAAAAGTACAAATGATTAAATATGCAGAGAAACAATAAAGTCATTAAGATCCTAAAGATAGTGTCTACCTGGCTCTTGTCACCCCATTCACCAAAAAATGTTAGGGAAAATGCCTGTAGGATAAGCATTGTCAAACTATTAGTGCAAATAAAGGTTTGTTGTTATTCAATAAAAGTTCAAGAAGACTAGAACCTTCAAAAATATGGGGGAAAAAAACTGTGTCAGAAATGGCCAATGCTTCTTTTTCGGTTCATCATTAGCCTGGAAAACCAAAAACATTTCAATCATTTTAAAAACATTAAGCATTATGTCAAAAGCCATAAGTACCAAATTTAATGTAGCCAATTTCCAATATGGCACAATAAGACCACGAAAGTATAAAATAAAATAAAATAACATAAAAAGAAAACCTCTTGAGAAACTTATTGTGAAAATTGTGCATGTGAGCTCAATACAAGGCTTGCATCCAACCTAAAACCAATTGGCTATTGGTGGAGTGGCCTTACTTGTATTTAATCGATTACCCCACTCAATGTGGGATTTTTCCAGTTAACACGCCCCCTCGTGTGCAGCCCCACTATGAATGTTGGGTTCTATCACGTGGCTTAACATGCCCCTTTACATACAGACCCGATATCAACTTTGGGTCCTATCAGGTGGGCTAACAATGGAGTTCGTAGGATGGAATCTGGACTCTGATACCATGTGAAAATTGTGCATGTGGCCTCAATACAAGGCTTGCATCCAACCTAAAACCAATTGGCTATAGGTGGAGTGGCCTTCCTTGTACCCACAAGCTTCTTTGGGATTTTCCCACTCAACACTTTTGTCCAAAAAACCGAAGTAAAGTATTTTCTACAAAGTTCAGTATGGGTAGTTCAATATTTTGTGTATGAAATATTTCTTTCTAGTGGAAGGATGGACGGGAAAACCAAAATTTATGTACTAAAAGAAATAATTGTTGCTGCATCTGATCAGCCTCAGGAACTAACCAGTCAAGACTAAATTAGAGAAATCAAAAACATTTTGTTAACTCTAAAGTCTAAACAAATATGTAAAGTTTGTTGACTCTAAAATCTAAAGAAATATGTAATTCTGCAACCTTGAAAGTCTAAGCATGTCAATGGATAGGGAACAAGAGAAAAACTGTTATATTGAGTTATAAAATTATAATATTGTTAATGTATCCTATTGGCCTCTTTGGTTTTTCCTGTGTTATCCTTCCAATCAGCATTCTGATAATAACTCAAAGATAAAAGTCAAAAATAATTTGGGTTGAATAAAAGAAAAGTCATAATGAGGAGAAAACCAACCAACTTTGCTTCAACTTCAGCCAATTCCTCAGATTCCCTGTTAAGGAAACACAATAAATTACAATAGAATCTAATTTTGCTAAAACATGTAGAAGATAAGTTATCCAACCTAACAAATAGCAAAATAAAGGAATAGATAAAGATAAAAGCCAATACCCTCCCTCCTTAATTCCCTCCCATAAAGAAAATAGCCCAAAACCAAAGAACAACAATGTTGTTATGTGATGAGTCCATTTGCGAGAGATCTGCATTGTTTAAGATACACAAGATAGTTAGAGGCTTATTGCAAGTTCAAATGGTCAGATGGCAATGTGAAATAATACATAATTGGAATGTGACATCTGTCATCCATGGTTACTAAACTTAGCTTGAACTACTTCAAATGATTGCTAAATACAACAACACTGTCAAAGGTATGCCTATAAAAATGTTAGTTAAGCAAGTAAAAGGACAAATGTGAATGGCTGCTTATCCCCAACCATTTGCTTTCTATAAAATTATTTCTCCTAATTTTCCATTGTAATCATGCTTGAAAAAGAGGACAATATTGGCATTTATACCACTGAATGCTTCTCCCTAACCATTTTCTTTCTATAAAATTATTTCCCCTAATTTTCCACTGTAATCATGCATGACAAAGAGAATAATATTGGCATTTATACTACCAGAGAAACTATCGAGCAATTTGTTGAAATATTTTCTCATCAATAGCATGTAATGAAATAGAATTGTTAAGGATTTAGATTCTTCTGAAACTACTTTTAATATATCTTCATTTATGCTTTCTCCTAATGTAGCTTGTCAAGCGCAGTAGATCATGAGAAAATGCTAAGTTTTCTGCATATTGATTGGAATTGTTAATCCTTTATGTCACCATAAGGTTCTCAAAGAGGAATTTGGACCACTTACCAGATTTGGAGTAGCCCAGCCAACAACAGCAGAGAGAATAGTCATCACCTAGATCAGAAAATACTTTTTAAGTAAACAGTGAGGCTTAAGAGAACAAAAATGATATTTACCACCAAATAAACCTGTAAATGTGAATGAAAAGTATATTTGAGGAAAAGGAAAAAGGGAAGGACTTACGATTAAAGCTACCAGGCAACCTGATAGGACAAATCTCCTTGGATGGCGCATTGCCAATATCTTGAAACAAGTATAGGACAATGGCAAAAGATGAAAATTAGTTTTCAAGCATTGCAGGAATTCAAAGCTGTTACTTTTAGTTGTAGACCATGAAAAGAAATACTCAATGATGGCTTGCATGACAACATGAAAAGCTAGTCAATTTTAAAACAAGGATAGAATAGAAATACCATCAATTAATGTCTGCCTCAAATTACATGTGTATCAGAGAACGAGTTAGAATCTTATAGAGTAATCACTTTTAAGGGGGGAAAGAAATCCACCAAAATAAGCAAGGGGAAAGACTTGCTCTCTACACATTGAATTTAAGTCCTCTAAGAAAATATCCACAATCCAGTTCCAAGAAACCACATCATCACTTAGAACCATTACTTAACCACTCATTTGAGAAGATTATCGTCTTATTAATTTAGCTCATAACAAAATTGTTTGACAGCATTATTGAAACAGCAGGGTATGCACCATGCAGTGCGCCAAAGAGTTGCAGAAAAAAATTGATGCAGATAAGGAAGGAAATAATATATTTATTAGGATTTTATTATGTTATAAATAGATAGGAATTGAATGTAAATATTACTAGTAACTTATATTTATTAGGATCTATTATTATCTTTCAATAAAGATTCAATTGGGAGTCTAATCAGGGAGTAAGTCTAATTTGGGTTCTTAGCTTTTATATTTAAGCATAGGTTGTATTAGGATTATTCAATTGAAGTGTTTATGAATTGAAATCATCTTCTAAAAATCTCTAATTCTGCTATTCTCTTCCCACCCTTGCCTGTTGGGTTTTTGTTTCTAAGTTCTATCCTCACCTTTGCTTCCTGTTCTAGATCAAAAATATTAAGGAAGATACAGTTTTTACACATTTATTTTATATATCTACTGGCTAAAACAACAAAATAGAGAGCCTAGAGAAGCTTTGTTCAAAGTAGAGAATGTTTGATACCTCAAAGCCAGGCTAGACTAGAGAACTAATTGGCACAGTAGTTTTTTAATAGATAGTTTATCAAGATACCCAATATTAAACAATGAAAAGGCTATTGATCCTTGGTTCCATCAGAAATCCAAAAAAGATGGGAGAACTTATCATGTACGAATTACACGTTTATTTATTCCCAATAAAAGATGCTTTTTCTAGGAATCAAAAGAGACCACAGGGCATCTTTGAACCCTGATGATCTAAGAGCTTCAATCTCTCTTTTAAGGAACATGTCTTTTCAAAGAAAAAAATATATAAAAAAGAAAAAGCAAAAATGGATCAACTTCAGGTTCTTGCTCCATCAAAGGCATGAGAAATGCATGGCATTAAACTCTATTTTTCACTTCTTAAATCATTAAATGATAAGGAAAAACTAGAAGACAAACACATCCAAACAAGCTTTATATCATCTTAAAGAATGACAATTACCATTATTTAATAATGCTAATAATCATTTTCAAATCAATATCACCAAATTCACATCCAAAAAAATTTGAAAACATTACTAATAAAAATAACCAAATCTAATCTTCAACTAACCGCAGCGGCGAAAAACGTCTTGTCGCCAATCTCCGACAGCACCGTCATGGCAAGAGACTTGGTCAAACCCTAAAAAACACCACAAGAAATGAAAATGAAATCATAAGTCCGTGATGCAAATCCAAATGACATCAGAATATGATCTCAATGCTGGATTCATATGGTGAGATTACCATACCTGAGCAAGCGAGCTCATGACTGTCCGGCGAGCTGAAGAGGAAGGTTTTGGGAGAGAAACGGAGGGAGAGATTCAGTCGGAGGATTGACTTTTCTCCGAGTCTCCCTGTTCTCTTTAAGAACACGTTCTGTGGACTTCGGAGTCGCTGGTAGGGGAATTATAAAAGGAATAAAAAATTGACGGAAAGAACGAATTTGCAAAGGAGAGTGTGGTTCAGATCCTGGAGGTAGAGAGTGGGGATTCTGGTTGTTGGAAAGAAAGTTTGCG